GAAAGGAATGGTAAGCCATTTCTGAGTGCTGTATACCTAGAACATCCAGAAAAGGGTCGCCATCCATCAGAATTGACTTGATGGCAAGTTGTTATTATTATTATATAATTACCTACCAGTTGTTGCTGTTGTGAGAACAAGTGAGGTGATTGTATTAAAGGACTTTGCACACAAATGAGTGTCACCGAAATGATAAACAATGGAAATTAACAAGGAAGGGGTGACCCACAAGCTTTATTTTATTATGAGCCCACCATTTCTCTAGTGGTCCATTGTGTGATGGGTGTGTGTGACAAAAATGACTGCATGAAATCCTTCAAGGTTAATTATATTCAACAGCATTTGTTTTAATCTGTTTGTTTTAATTAAGAAAAGGATTTCCACACTGAGTCTATGTGTTCACATTTCCAAGATCCCTGAACTCCATTGCAGGGGGAATCATTACAGCCTGGGAGTTTTATGTCTCTCAGCAGTGTCCTTTAAAGATATTTAGATGGTTTCAGTCAAGATGAAAGGCCGTGTGGATTTCTTTTCCCCTATTAATCTGGCACAGAATACCAGACCTCCTGGGTATATTTACTTATCATCAGCATTTGTCCCTGTAGTTTAATCCGCAGATGTTGGGCTAGCACATACGACATTTCACGAGTGCTGTTCCAGCCAGTTTGATTGTGAGGATACACACCAAGCATATTAACACCTTCCAAATGCCACCCTGTGGTTCACTGTCAACAATGTATTCCCCCCTCTCCTTTTTGTGATTCCTGATAATAAATTAATTGTGCTTCTAAAGAACAGTGTCAAGGGAACAAAGCAATCAGTGACACCATCTGCTGCCACCAGGTTTGTCTGGTAGAAGGAGTTGCGCCTCTCCATCACTCCGGAATGTTGACAGGCCTTGACACTGATTGCCGTTCCTTCCCTCACACAGGCCCGCCTGGGCAATGTGAGTGGATCAGTAGGGAAAGAGGATCTGTCATGACAAGGTGAAAAAGGGGTCTGGGGCAGTGACAGGCTAAGAACAAGCACGTATGGGAGCCTCTTGGTTGACTATTGCAAATTAAAAAAAAAGTTGCAAAAAGTTGAAGCAAATCAAACAAAATGTGAACTGGTATCGCCCAAGTACTGTCAAGAAGGTGGTTAGTCTATATTATAGACTATAATATATAACTCTATCCCATCTTGATGTATCCAGAAGTGTAGGAGTCCGAATGTGAAGATAATTGGAAGAGTTTTCCAGAGGCAAAGCTGTGTTAGTCTTGCAGAAAAAAGCAAAGTGTCCTGTTGCACTTTAAAAACTAACTTATGTATTTTGTTGGGCATATAAGACTAACACAGCTTTGCCTCTGGAAAACACCTTTAAAGAAGGTGTCATGGACCTTCTTTAAATGTATCTGAATTCTGAGTTTCGGATTCTATGTATTCGCAAAGGCTTTAACGGCCGGGATCTAATGGTTGTTGTGGGTTTTTCGGGCTCTTTGGCCATGTTCTGAAGGTTGTTCTTCCTAACGTTTCACCAGTCTCTGTGGCCGGCATCTTCAGAGGACAGCACAACCTTCAGAACACGGCCAAAGAGCCCAAAAAACCCACAACAACCATTCAGATTCTATGTTTACTATTGAGAACAAGGCATTTTGTATACCTTGCAGAAATGCAGGTTTCATCTGATACAATCTTTGGAGAACTATAGCCCACTTCACCTGTTTTTACAAGAAATGTGCAACAGTAAGATAAAACAGGATAGGGTGTGGCCACATGGGGAAACAGATTGCATTCTGGACTGCTTGTGCAACCTGTTTCCTGGCAATCACACAATATATGGGGAACGGTGTTCCATCCTGACCCTGATCCCTGCCCAGGCTAGACCTTTTTGATCTAGCAATAGGGCTTCTATTTTTGGGAGGCCAGGCTGGAGCAATGCCCTGACAGATGTGAGAGTCACTTTAAGGGAAATCACTTGTTTTTTAACTCGGCAAACAAGTTTTTATAACAGTGTTATGGATGCCTGGCGATATCTCTAAAACATACATTAGGTGCGCTAGCTAGCTAGGCTCCTTAAGGCAGACTTAAATAAAATGATGTAGATTGGATTCCTAAAATGCAGCTGGTTCTACTTGCTGGCCAGTTTCAAAAACCAGTGCTAGCCCATGCCATTGCCAGCCAAAAACCAATGCCAGATAATACCCAATACTAGGTATTATCTGTACCCCTGAATCACTCAGCTGTTTAGCCTATGGCTGCTTAGTTCCTCTCTGATGCCAACACAGTTAAGCCAACAGCAGCAATAAGGGTTTGTGATACCTCTGCTGGCAAAACCTTACTGTAGGATTTCACAGCAGATAGATCAATGGCATCAAAAGGAGGGCCTGGTGCAGCTGGCAGCTGGAACACTTCGGGCTATAGCTTAATGGCAGAAAACATGTTTTACATGCGGATTTACATCTAGGATTCATCCATACCATCTCTGGATAAGACTAGAAATGGCAGGACTAGGGAAAAGTTTGCTTGAAACTGTTACTGTTGCTCCCAATCAATATTATTAACTATCCTAATAGTGGTTGTTGTGGTTTTTTGGGGCTCTTTGGCCGTGTTCTGAAGGTTGTTCTTCCTAACATTTCGCCAGTCTCTGTGGCCGGCATCTTCAGAGTGCTGTCCTCGGAAGATGCCGGCCACAAAGACTGGCAAAACATTAGAAAGAACAACTTTCAGGGCCAAAGAGCCTGAAAAACCCACAACAACCATTATATCCTGGCTGTGAAAGCCTTCGCGTACATATCCTAATAGTCCTAGTATAGATAGCCCTGCTCCATATAAGACAACGTTAAAAGGTAAAGGTTCCCCTTGACAATTTTGTCCAGTCGTGTCCAACTCTAGGCAGCAGTGTTCATCTCCGTTTCCAACCCATAAAGCTAGCGTTTGTCCGCAGACAATCCTCCGTGGTCACCTGGCCAGCATGACTAGACACAGAACACCGTTTACCTTCCCACCGAGGTGGTACCTATTTATCTACTTGCATTTTTGCATTTTGCATGCTTTCGAACCGCTAGGTTGGCGGGAGCTGGGACAAGCGACGGGGGCTCACTCCGTTGTGTGGATTCGATCTTACGACTGCAGGTCTTCTGACCTTGCAGCACAGAGGTTTCAGCGGTTTAACCCGCTGTGCCACCACATTATATGTTCTTTAAATCTCAAGACAGATGCACCTAATGAATCCTAAGAACAAGGAGGTGAATCTAAGGATGAGTTTCAAATAACAGGCCACAGTATTTTAAATGAGTCTTCACTTGGTTATTCTGCTTTGGCATGTAGCCATCATCTTCAAGTCCAGGAGCTTGCAGAACTGTGTGTACCACATATCCCAGAATCTCTTGGGAGCTGACAACCAAAGAAGTATATTTTCTAAGTTCTGCCTTTGACATTGCAGTAAAGACCTGCTACTGATATAACTCATAGTTTATGTTTTATGCAAGAAAAACAAATTTACTTTATTCCTCGTGGAATGCTTTTCTGGGTAGATTATACTTTTTTCCTTGAGGCAGGATGTCACAGCAAGGAAATTGCATGTTTTTTATGAATCAGGAAATTACTGCTTCATCACAGACTTTTCAAAGAAACATGCATGTAATCCTCACTGTTGACATCACTTATTCTGTAGCTTCTCAGGTGATTTTGGCACAAGAAATTTCTTTTTTAACAGGTGGGCAGGTTTGTTGCGCTAGTATTTGTTGCTGTCTCCATTTGTTCATGTTTCCAGGTTTTGGTTAGATTTCCTATTGTCATCTTTTGTCCCTTAGGACAGAGAGATTTAATCTCAATTTTTAGCAAATGATTCACTCATGTTGACCAGATTGATTACCTACCATATCTGCAGTACATGTATAAACTACTTTCCAGGTCTTCCAACCATAATTCTTTGACTGGGGACTCTTTATAGTAAAACTTTCTGCACCTTTACTTTACTGCCACAGAAAAATCTAGGACAGCTAAACAACTAATTAGGCTGGTTTTAAATCAGATGTTATAGTTAAAGATTGGAGATGTCACTTTTTGGGACTATGAATCCTGTAATCCCCGGCTAGCATGGCAGACTTTAATTTTACATCCTGCTGCATCTCTTGTGCTCAGAATGGCTTGGAACAATTTTGTCAATAAGCTGCCGCTGACCAGAAAGGGATCAAGTACTAAGCTGGGATAGCCGGACAGAACAAAGCAGGGCAAACTCCTTTCTGCTCACCATAATGTTCATGTCCCCTCTATTCCTTTCATCCTCCACAATACTGCTGTCTATCAATGTACAGGTATTTATTTTGCTCTAGTTCCACCCTCCTCCTCTGTCTTGCCCCAGTTGCTAAATTACAGACAAATGAAAATGTATTGCCAGAGGGGGGAAAAACAACAACCAAAGGGGAAACATGACAAAAGTATATAAAAGTAGGCCAGGTGTGGAGAAATTGAATAAGGAGAATCCCCCCCTTCTTTTTCTGACCTAGTACTAGAACCAAGGGTCATCTATTGAAGTTGAATGGTGGGCCCAATGCCAGCCGGGGTATAATATGAAATCAGTTTTTCCTGCATAGAGAATATTTGGATTAATTTTCGATTAATCCACCGATGGACCACTTCCAGAGGGCTGAGGGCTGCACTCTCACAGCTTTGGATATAGGCTGCCTGCGCTTTACCCTCCACAGAAGTATTTCTTTAGCACAGGAGGTCCCCTTACACCCTCTGGTGGCCAAGGTTTTTAAAAACTATGGGAACATGTGGGGACGTTTGAGCAGGAGTGGGGCCTCCAGAACATGGCAAAATCATCTCTCTCCCATGCCCTGCAAAGGGCAAGATTTACAAATTTGATTTGGGGGTTGAGGGACAATGAGTGGGGCGTGATCCACACTGCCAAGGTTCACATGCAGCTAACAGGTCACCTTTCAATTAATGTAATTAACTTGGCAATGGGACAGTCTTTGTTTATTGTTTCTCTCTCTCTCTCTCTCCTCTTACAGCCAAGAAGACCTGTGCAGAAACTGATTTTACTTGCAACAACGGCCACTGCATTCCATCCAGATGGAAATGTGATGGTGAAGAGGAGTGCCCAGATGGGTCAGATGAATCTGAAGCAACATGCAGTGAGTATTCCTCTTTGCAATGCAGTTGTGTAGTGATTTGGAAAGTGAGCTGGTAAAAGAAAACATTTTCTCATGTTTCTCTCTCTTTCTCATGTTATCAACCACACATACACACACTGCACCATTCTGGATCAGATCATTCAATGATGTTATTCTAATGCTTTAGGCTAAGGACTATTAGGCTATTTGCTTGTTGGATCTTTTCAGTGGGTGTGCACAAGTTATTTCTCTGGAAATAGAAACACTTCCAGTTTCTCCCCTGAATGTCCCAAGGCTCTGGTGGAATCACTTGCATTGGCAGGACATCACAGTGGACTATGGGACAGTGAGGGAAGTCTTTAATTACCTAAAATCAGTGCCACTGGGATGATTATACATTTATTTCTGGCTGTAAACAATGTGAGCAAACTCTGTGGCATTGATTGTATAGCTCAGTGGCCTGAAGCACATGGCTGCAGAGCCAGGAATGAAAAATTTGATTCCTCACTGTGCCTCCTAGGAGAAAAACTAGTCTGTGCAGCCTTGGGCAAGCTGTAGAGTCCCAGAGTACCACCACTTCAGAGTGCTTTATACCTAGGAAATCCTGGGAAGGGTCATCATAAACTGGAACTGACAGCATTCTCTTCTCTAAAGGGAAACCTAGACAATTTCTATTGAAATGCTGTTGTAATTGAAAATACAAGAGGATTCTGTGCTTATATGTGCAATCTATATAAGACGGAAATCACCCACCAACAACTCTTCACAGCTGGCAATTTTGACCCCAAAGGATGATTTTAGAATTCAAAGCTCCCTGTCGTCCCAGAAAAACTGAGGATAATCAACTACAGATTCTTCCATGATCAATGGTTAAATTATGTGATGCCAATGATTTGTGGGATCATTATTTTCGCCAGTTGTTCCTTTCTCTATCTGTAATGTAAAACTGGAAAAGTTGCTGTTGTTGAGGAGGAATCCATCATGATCAGAAGGTGTTTTATATAGATCTTGTTGGCTTTGAATAGAGAGAAACTAAACTCTTCCAGTTTGCATGTTGTTCTTTTGAAACAGCATTGTAGTAATCTCTCTCATGTTGCAATATAACACAAAGCTTGGGGCCGCAGGGCATTTCAGGAACTGTGCTTGTGCTGGGAAGCAAAAGGCAAGAAAAGTGGGGACCTCAATGGAAGTAGAGAGCACTTGCAGGCAGTAACTGGTGCGGAAGCCAAATGCAGCAAATATCCCCAGTCGAATAGACTCATTTGCAAATGGGACTTGAATGCAAGTATCAGGAAACCCTTGGCTTTGCTATGCTGCTGTTCTTGTCTTACGGGACAGATCATCCATTTCCTGTTCATCTGGAACAGTGGAGAGTTATTAAACATTCACTGACACAGACTGGATGGGGATTCAACCCAAGGAAAATCATGCTTAAATATTTGGTAATACACAAGGGTGAGAGTGTGAATGTTTGAATATGATTAGTGTTATCTTGTTAGAGGAAACTGCTCTGTGAATGATGTATTTATTCAGGTAGGACAAATTTGACTTGAAACTTAAACTGAGCTGCACATACTTTCTAAATATGAGAAAAGAATTAACAGTTGGCCTAGATGTGTTCTGTGATTGGCCAAAAAAATTTCTTACAGTGGCAGTATCTGTCACATGTGCAGATTTCAGCAAAATGGAGGTGTTCCAAAAGAAGGTGAGTGTGGAGCATGCCAGCTAGAATATTGATTCTTTGCTGTGTCATTTGATATGGAGAGAGAGAGAGAGGGCTGAAGATATTGGAGGTCGTTCATGCAATAGTCCAGTCGTAACAAAGGCAAGGAGGAGAAGCAATGAGTGGTGATGATATAGCTATCAGAAGAGGGAAGCATTCCGTACAATTAATTGATGTTTATTCAAATGAGCATGTCAGCTGTTTGGAAATTGTAGGACATGTTATACGTCTGGCCTGTTCGCAGATGCTGTAGATGTCCAGCACAGAATTTTGAAGATTTGGCAACCAATGCAGGCTACAGAAATAAGTGAGAGATATGAATGCTTCCCTTCTGTATCCAACTGCTAGCATTTTATTATATCTATTTTACTTATTTGTGCATTAAACACATCGACATTAGTGAAGCGGGTGTCATCTCCTCCTAAACCCTTCCATTAGGTTTTTTTGAGCTTGTCTGATCCAGCTAAAAACCTCACATCGAGTTAATAGTTATGACAGCAAAAGCAATGTTTTTTGGACACTGTCAGTGTGCATTACAGAGAAGCATGTAAAATTATTTGTCTTATTTCCTCTTGTTTTTTAAGTGTAGTAGCTCATTCTGCATTTTTTTCCTAATTAGGAATGAGATACACTCCTCTCTAGCAGAGCTGTCTTTTAGCAGCCATACAGAAGACCAAAATAATCATCTCAGCAATGACATTAACATATTTAGAATACCCTAGGGTTGGGTCTCTGTCAGTCTCTTCTTCTTAGTCAGAGCCTTCTTATGAGTGCAATGACAGACTCCCATTGGGTGGACCTAAATTAATTAAGCAGTCTCTTTCCCAGAATTCCTTGCCTGTAAATCTTTCTAGCCCGAAGTACCTATGTTTAGACTGCATAGTTCACTGTAAGGTCCACAAGGATTTCATTTGACCTCTATCAGACAGTGATGCATCTTTTCTGGTAAACAGGATCATCTTATGCCTGTTGATTTCAGTAATACTGTCATGCCTTATGACAGAGTTCTTTTTCACCTGGGAGTTTATGATGTGGATTATGTTGAAGTTAGATGCTGTGCTTGGAGGAGTAGTTTCAAGGGAAAATACTTGGATTATGAGTTCAAAGCCCAGTTTAACCATGGGCTCCTTACTTGGCTATGAGCCAGTCATTACTTCTTAGCTTCCAGTATGGTTTTACAGGTTGCTATGGAAAGTTACAGGTACTCCCCCAGGGTAACTGTTCTTTAGTTCCAAACAGGTATTCTATCAGAATTTGGAGAAGTTCCTTTTGGGGACTGTGGCTCTCAAGCATTTGGAGCTTGGAGAAGGTAGTTTGAGAACAATAACTCCATGATGGCCGGAGTATTTGGGGAGTTGCTCCGGGTTTGCTGGAACTGAGCAACACCGTTGCCATCAAATCATTCATCTGAACATCAGTATCGGTTCAAACTTTTTGAATACCACTCCCATTAGCTTAGACCCCTTAGGTTGGTTTGGTACGAATGGAAGAAATTGCCACTTGATAAATGTGTCGGGCATTTTCCCCATCGTGATCCAACTTGCGCATCTACAGTAAGTCATCTGTTATCTGTCATCTGTAACACGTTGATCAGAAGCTGGCGTTTATGTAACTGATGTGGTCCTTGCAGAGAAGATTAGCAGCAAAATTAAGATACCAGGTTCATAGCTGGTTCAAACATAAAGCTTCTGTACTTTCAGGAAAGCAAAGTGTTTGAACAAGAAATATAAAACAAAACAAAAGTGAGGGGGGGGAGATGGTATGGCACTTTAAGGACTTACTGCCATATTTTAAGCTTTCATTGAACATTGTCCCCTTCTCCAGACATATGAGTTAGAGAATACAGAGACAACATGGTAAAACATTCATACAAGGCTCTAAGAGATACTAGTGTTTGGTTGCATTTCATGGTTGCATTTCACATCTAATAATGATTTATGGCCCCTGTTTGATACTCAGTTCTTTTGAAGCCTGGTTCTATAAACAGCAATATGATTAAAGGAAACAACAGAGGAACAACATGTGGTAATGTAAAGAATGACAAACTTTACCTTTGCTCTTGTTTTGTGTTTTTTGTTGAAATGCTAACATGGCTATGACTCTGAAAACTACTACTACAGTATTTGAATCTCAGTTTTCTCTTGGTGAATTGTCAGAAATAAATGGGTGAATAAACTATTGCTATCTATGCAGAATCTTGAACTAGCTGACATTAGACTTCATTTGTGGGTCTTACAGGTTTTAATCTGAATGACTGTAAAACTATTTGATCTCCTGCAAGTCTGTCTGGTTTTTGAAGCAATTGTTGGAACCATATTGAGATTTCACTATGGCGTGAAATATCATAGGATGCAGAGGCAAATAGCTTCTGACTGGCATGTGACCAGGTACCTCCTTAGTTAACTGCAGTTTGCTGCCAGGAGTTACACAATTTCACTTACTCTAGAGCAAAATCTCTGGAAGCTTCTGGCCAATATTTTTTTTCCTGTTTGCTCATATGTGTAAGAGTCATGAAACAGTTTCATTAAAAATAATGAGTGAGATTCTTCAGACTGTAAAATTTGCAGTGCCTTCCAGGTTCTTTACAAAGCTGCATGAGGATAAGAACTGTGAAATACCCACACTGTTGTTTAGACGTCTTCTCTGAAACTGCCCAGAAGGATTGCATGTGTCTTTTAATAACTGACTGAGTTTTAAAAAAAATCCAGAACAGGTAGCTACAGAGTCAAATCCATGCAACACTGCAGAGTTGTGGAATCTACTGTTTACACCCCTTTGTTCTGGTTGTTTTTCTTTAACACAGAACAGTGCATTAAAGAACTCGTGATAAATTTTCTAAGAAGTTTTTCACAAGGTATAATGACTTCATATGAACAAGTGAATTCTCCTGACATTTCAGAAAACCAATTATAAGCAATATAGTTTTCTGTCAGGTTTTTTCATTAAAAAAAAAGAAAGCTGTATGGTTTCCAGCAAAATACACTGCTTTAGCACCTAATATTCTTTGGCCTCACCAAGTGTTAGTGTTAAAGAGGTAAACATTTAAATTGCCTTATTGAATTATTCCATTTCTTAACCTGGGAAATTGGCTAACAAATTGTGACTTCTGCCAATAACTGAAATTAAAGAGGAAGGAGAAAATATTACTTAAAAAGGCAAACTCGGAGACATTTTATATAAGTGTGCATGTATAATGAGATCCAGAGATGTAAGTCGGCTATTTTCCCCTAACAGATTTTCCCCTTATTACTATACACTATATGAAGGAATACTAGAAATTGCTTTATGCAAATATAGT